AGTGGCTGGTGGGTTTGAACTGCCAGCCTTCTGGTTAGCAGTCAAGTGCCTTTAGCCACTATGTTACCAGAACTCCCGCAAAATCTAATGCTTGTTTTGAAATCACAGAACACCTTGACTTTGGCTGATAATTGTGTTTGGACTCTGATCAGTAGTTAACAATTATGAAATAGTCAGTACATGGTAAACTATGACACAGCATTAAAATAAACTGTTACCATGTCTGTGGCAAGTTCAATTTCGCCTCATTTAGTTATGTTGTGTAGAATACACTCAGGGCTTTTGATGTATGATCATTGTCTTTTCTGTACAGGTATTACGTGAGAACAAGTCTAGACCTTTAAATTACATAATCACAGTCCCCTTTAACAAATATTATTCTATACTATAAGGTTGTCTACTATGAATGATAAATTGTGTGTACAACTTCTTTTCTTCTTTTTTATTTCTAGCCAGGACTAAAAGAAGTGGTAGAATCCTGTCGAGGAAAAAATCTCTTTTTTTCTACGGACATTGATGATGCCATTAAGGAAGCTGATCTTGTATTTATTTCTGTAAGCATTTTCCTTTGCTGTTTGAATTTTAATGTATTCTTGTCTATCTGAAAGTTTCATTGTACTATAATATTAAGCCATAACATTGCTTAGCATAGAGTTATCCAGTTGAATTTTGGTTGTCACTAACTTTGTATCTAACAGTTCACCAAACCCATAACATTTCAGTTCACTGAACAAGTAGACTTGGAGAAAGTTCTAATCTGAAATTTAGAACTAGAAAGTACTGATAACATGTGAGCACATGTGATGATTGTGTGTGTGTGTGTATGGACGTGTTTGCATGTGTGTGTATTTCATCATTTCTTGCTTTCATTGGCTAAGAGAGATGAGGTAAAGACAATCAGTTTGAAAACCTATAGGTATTGCCTATCTAACTGAATATGTTTCCAAAGTCATTTTTTAAATTAAAGTTTGGAATTTCTCATATGTGGGTTATGAGCCTGCAGAAACCTTTTTAATTCATAATATGAATATGCCCTTGTAAAGAAAAAAATCAGACCAACTCTTGGATAAAACTCTGCTAGTCCAATGTTTGAACCAAGAAAATTTATTTCCTACTGTCCCAGTAATAATCTACTTAAATATTGTATATGCAGTGGTAGAAATATCGCCAATTGATGACTGACCTAGAGTTTTATATGACTGAAGACTTTTAGGGCTTTGAAAGCCAATCATGTGTGCTTTGTCAGTGTCCTTTGAGATAAAGAGAAGAACTT